AACATTCTTAGGTGACCCCTGTGAAAGGGTCATTTGACATTCAAAAGGGTCATTAGCCATAGGTTGAGAACCACTGTTTTAAACAAAAAAAGACTAAAATCCACAATTTTACTACTTTTCAACTGATATCTAGGTAAGAACAGAAATCCCCATATGATTTTTTAAAAATGCCAAATAATATGTTATAATTTTGGAAAGGCCCAATAATGAGAATTTCTTGTTCTAATAGAAATATCTAATAATATTCCAACATGCTCTGCTACCATTTTGAATTCAGTAATCTTCCCTAAAATGTTTGGCCACTATATTATTATATTCCACTAGTCAATGCTCCCTCCCCTCCATGTCTACCTATTTTCACCTATTTACTTTTATTTATACCAACAACATAACTGGTGGTGAAGAGACCAGGGTGCTGTTATGATCCAATGTAGTACTTAATAAAAAAAATCCCATAATTTTGTGTTAAGCTAAAATACTCTGTCAGTATTGCACACCCCCTGACTTCAGTGCATGTATGCCAATGTATCCTGAATGATCTTTATTCAAAAGCAAAAAGCTGCAAATTAGAATTTTATCCCCACTGAAATATGAGAGGAAGCTGGAGATTCCCAGCTGAGAGACTGCTCTGGCAGAAGGCTGGGTTTTAAATCTGGAATGCTGTTTTCTGGCTTCAACACCATTGGGATTTGGGAAGAAAAATGTTGTAGAGTGATGCCCTGTGTATTATACAGTGTGAAGAACACAATTTCTGTCCATGATCTGTAGTTGCCAAGAGTAACCTGCCTAAAATAGCCATTGCTCAATGTGTTAACAGGTTTTGCCAGGGGTTACCCAGGGCTGCAGTCTACTCTGGTTGAGAATCTTTGAGCTGGAATGTTGTCCCTTAGTACCATCAGTCCAGAACACTTGTTTTCTCCTGCAATCTTAAAAAACCAGATGCCTGGGAATTAAACTCATAGGAGACCTATCTGTAATCTACAATTCCATTCAATTAATATTCACAGGGAAATGTCCATTTAGTCACCTCAAACTCATTACTGCTGCCTAAGGTCTTTCTCTCTTATGCTCAAAACTCTTGAATATCAAATGTATAATAAACAATAGCATGGAAAACCCTAAACTTGAGAGAACAACTTCTCAAGACATGGTTTTCTGATGCTGCCATAGTGCTCTATAACATCCAGACAGCAAAAACTGAACAAATTGGTCTTTATAATAATGACATCCTTATATACTTGACTTCCTAATCCAACTTGATTTGTAAATATCACCATTCTACTACAGTAAGATAAGAAAGTGAACCAAGATTTGTACATCACAGACTTAATGGATAAGTTATTAATATCTCAATGGGGAAGAACAGAGGCCAGTTACTATGTGTGAAATTGTTTTAAGTTCTCAGGAATGTATGCACTATGTTATAGTTAGTTGGAGAAGAAAGACTAAAACTCACAGCAGCTTATATAAGGATTTGTACCCTTGTGAAGGACAACTGGAACTTGACCCCACCTCAGAGCTCCCCACTCATACCTTTCATGATCAGGTTCCCATGTTGCCTGTCCTCCCAACAAATGAGGAACACGCCCCCTTCTCTTATTTCAATACTGTTCTTTAAAAACCAAACGTAGAGCAATATGGATTCTCAATTTACAGTTGACAAAAACAAATGGGCAATAAATATATACTTTCCAGAGTGACTGCACCAGAGACAAATTTCACATTCATGGAATCGATTCTGATCTGCATAATTGATTTGAGAAGCAGTTAAACAGCCCTTTGCACCACACACCTGCATACTGATAATGACCCAAAAAAGCAGGCAGTGTTAATGAACACATGCACACACACACACACACACACACACACACACACACACACACACACACTGTCCCTATGTACATGTAATTCACTTCTGTGTGTACACACACACCTTAGCTCCCATACTGTAATAAAGCATTGTGGTGGTTGTTGTTCATCTAATTGGGTACAACCACCCACTCCTGCCAACAATCCTTGGGTTGTAAGTCTTTTAATGCCTACACCCCTTAATACCTGAGTTAACAACTAGATTGGCTGGTGTTAGCACTTAAACTAATCAATAGACATGCAAGAATCTGTCTTCCTTAAGAGTCAGCTAGAGAATTTAAGGAACAAAAGAGGAAAAAGTGAGCTTTACATGGCAATGAGATAATCTTAAGAAATTAAGTAGGGGCTGGGAATGTGGTTCAGCTGGTAGAATGCTGGCCTTGTATGCTTGAGGTCATTATTTTGATTGCTAACACTAAGTAAAACCCCAAAGAACCACCAACCAACAAACCTCAAAAGAACACAAGAAACACATGGCTATATTGGGCAAATTCTTGTGAAAGTCATTCAAAGGCAAGCTATGTTAAGGCAGAAAGAACTCTGTAACATTTCAGGTGAATCCAGATAAATTTTTTTGGACATGTAAAATAAGCTTGTTTCAAATTTAAATAAAAAACAGATAATTTTTTAATTAATTTAAATTACTGACAAAGAAAACACTTGAGACAATAACCCTGATTTTAAATGACCAAGATATGTAATAATACTAGATATGAACTTTCTTTCCCATTAAAGCAGAAGGGAGAATAGCTTCTTAATTCGAAAAAGTAAAGCACATTAAAGCTCATACAGAGTGAATTAAGCATGCATCACTATCAAAGCAAACATTAGTCCTGTATTATTCTTTGTAATTTGCTTTTTAATAGTAAAAGCAATACATGTGGGGCTGGAGACATAGATGGGTTTGAAACATTATGTTGAAAAAGTTGAGGATCTGAGTTTGGTTCCCTTTACTTGCCTACAAAAGCTGGGTGTGCTGGCAAGCACTTGTAATCCCAGCACCAGGGACATAGAAACAGGTTGACTCTGCCAACCAGCCCGGCTTCATCAGTAACCCTCAGACCAGTGTGACATCTGAGTTGACCTTTGGCGTCCATGTGCATGAAAACATTCTTACACATGTCTCTCTCTCCCCTCCCCCACCCCCCAGATTTTGCACACAGAAAGCAGTCTATGTGATACACCTTTAGGATAAATAAATGGAGACTTGTCTCTACTTTATTAGATCCTAAGATCCACACAAGTATATGCATATATGCCAATGCTTGTTTATTTTTAAAGTATTAGAATGAAACAGAATCTTTGGAAGCTGCCATTAATACCCAGACTTTGACCTTTGGCGATTTCATCGATTTCATCCTGGGTGCTTTCTTCTCATCTCAAGTGTACCCCACAGGTACAAACAAATCCTCAAGTTTTACAGTTTCATTCCTTTTCTTAAAATAATTGGAATGACAATTCATGTATTCTTACAATACATGCTATTAAGCTTTGCTTTTTAAAATTTCCTAAACTACTATTATAACTCATTTTCCCCACTAAAATTATATTTCTATGAGTTAAACTTTTTGTATTGCTGTAGTTCTTTTCCATTGTTGTATATCATTTTACTGTGGAGCACTCCATCATTGTTAGTTTTTTCGACACTGCATGTGGGTTGTGAATGGTTCTCTGTTGCTATGAGTGATGCATGTGCCTCTGGGCGCAGAAGTCTTTGCATTTGCAGCTCAGTCAGTAGTGTCCACCTTTGTTCATTTGATGGGAAATGAAAACTTCTGGCATTTGTATATATTCTTGTGGTATTCAAAAGGCCTCTGGAGACTGTTGCTCTTCATGGGTAAGCCATTCCCAGAAGCCCTTGCTTGTTAATGGAATTAGTGGAGTCTGGGACATGCTGAAGTTCAAATTTACAAGCTTATGTAGGTTGTTTTTGTAAGTAGTTGTTCATGTTGCTTTCTCATGAGTAGTATGGAGGGACTTCTCCTGACCCACATGTTCCAGGTTCTTTGGCCTCTTTTGTACATTCACCACTCTTAAAGAAGTATCTGCTTGTAGTTCTGTTGTTCCAATCAACGTGCATGGTCTCTGTGTGGCAAGGTCTCAGCCAAGCCTCAAACCACTTTTCTAGTGTGTTTTCTAACTAAATGTTTTATTCTTTTGTTCATTTAAAATGTTTTTCATATTCAGGCTAAGGATTGTTTCCTGGCCTATGCTCTTTTTATACCATATTTCCAGATACATAATTTCATATATTTCTTCTATCTTTAAATATTCTTTCATAAGTTCTACAAAATTCTAAGTATTTCAACAAACTTTTATGTGCTTATAGAATCATCGATGTCTCATTTGTTTCTTTTATAGGAACTTTAGGCATTTGTGATTCCTTTTCTTCACTGTTTAGTGTATCTTAGAAACCATAGATTCTTTTTGTTTTGTGGTGCTAGAGATTAAGCCTAGGGCCTTACACATGCTAGGCAAGCACCCCACCACATTCTGAATGTCCAGCCCCCTTTCTGTTTTTGTAAATAATTTGAAATGGGGTCTTACTATCTTGACTACATTTTTATTTTTTTTAGTTCACTTCCTAGCCCAGCTGGGTTTTGACCTTGAGATCTTTATGCAACAGCCTCCCGTGTTTCTGGGATGACCACCAATCTAAAAAGTTCCTTCCTTTTAATGTAGCCAAATTTAGACACGTTTCTGTTCATGATAAAAATTCTTTTCAAAACAAACCTTTGATCTTAACATATTTTATTTTACAGTTTCTATAATGTCTTCTTTCTCTGTTTCTCTCATCTATTGGTTGTTTTCTATGGTTACTGAGCTTTCCAGACTTTAGGCAGCATACTGTGTGCATGACAGACATATTTCTAAAGAATCTAGGTCTATTTGTTTACTTATTTTGAGACAGAGTTTCATGCAGCCCAGGATGATTTTGAACTCACTGTATATCTGAGAATGACCTTGAACTCCTGATCATCTTGTACCTTCTTGCTGAGAGCTAGGATTACAGGCACTGGCCATTGTGCATGGCTTAGATCCTGGTTTTGATGTCGGGTTTTTTTTTTTTTTTTTTTTTTTTTTTTGGTGTCGGTTGATTTGAAGAGAGCTGTCATTTTCCCTCTTGGCAGATGACTGTGATGAGCCCCTGGTGTCTGCCTTGCCTCCGGCATCCTTCAGCAGTTCTTCTGAGCTCTCCAGCAGTCATGGTCCTGGATTCGCAAGGCTGAATCGAAGAGATGGTAAGTCTGCTCTCCTCCCAATCCTTTGGCTCACGATGAATGTTCATTTTCTATTTTCTTAATAAAACCATGGCAAATGATATGCTGTGGGAAAAAAGCAAATGCCTGAATAGGCCAATTGTGATAATGTAAAAGTTTATGACACCCAGCCTCCATTCAAGAAAGGCAAAGAAATACATCCTACCTGAAACCCTATGCCATTATTTTAGCATCCAAAGAATTTAGTTTCTTCTTCAATCTGGTAAGGTTTTTATGTACCTTGTAAAGTAAAAATTTTTGCAGTGATTTGCAATCATTATGGATACAGGAATGATGGGAATTTAATTGGCTTCCTATTTCAAGTTAAAGAAGTTTGCAAGAAGTAATTTTAAAGCACATTACATATTTAAAAATAGTAACCCCTCAGTTTGCTTAATTCTCGATGTGGTTGACATGGTTTCCTCTGCTGTTGAGGATCAAGAGCTTCATAAAGCTTTTCTACCCCTTGAGGAATACTCAGTTCTGGTTGTTTATTATTTCTCAAATAGGTTGGGCTAGATGGCATACATATGATCCAGGGAAAGGGAAGACAAAGATAATTCACTTGCAGGAAAAATGAGAGAGTACCATGCCGAACAACTGTTTGCAAATGACTGTCACTGACTTAAATTCTTTAATATACGGAGGTAAAAGACATCAGCACAAACATTTGAGAGACACATTGACAAATGGGAAGCTATTTCAACACATAGAAAAAACAAACTCCCAACAACTCAAGTTTTCAAAAAACATACTTTGCTTTTTTGAAAGTGTTATCTCTTTTCCCATCATACTGAAAAAATCTATTCTTTGTTGTTATTACTCTTCTTGGTACTGTTGCTTAATGCTTGAATTTGAGTATATGGGACTTTGGACATATTTGTGTGTATGTGTGGTTTGTGTGTGCGTGTGTGTGTGTGTTTTGCCATCTGGTACACATCATGCATAACTCAGTTCCAATGACTGTAGAGATGTTTATATGACTCTTTGTCATGGTTTAAAGCTTTTTGACATGGTTATACTCTCCAATCATCTGAGATGTGCACTTTGGTGTTTTTATAAGAGTGAAGGCATTGATGGAGGAGAACACTGAGATAGATCTTTGTATCAAACTAGAGACACAGAGGCCCTTGAAACAGATCATGGTTCTCTATTCCTTATAAGTACCTTGTAATTAGAGATTCCCATTTGTGATAACAGATCTCTGACTGCATAGGCACTGAACCCCTTTGTACTCTGGGAGACATTCGTTCTAGACTCTATACTAAGCCCTTCCTAGCAGGATGCCATTTCTATGACACTGATTTGAAGGCAAGGTCTCTACCTTGTGCTTTTAAAGGTAAAGGAGAGTTTAACATTTCCTGCCCTTCCTTTAAACCTTCAAAGCATTCACAGAATGGGGTCCACCAAAAAAGAAACAAAATTTAATTTATCTGTGAAGCTTTGTTTTATTTTTGAGGCTCAATAAATCACAGAATTATATTTTATTAATTGGATGCAATCATAGTTTTCATTAATTTATATACTCAACAGGAATCTCCGTCGGTGGGACTCATTTTCATTCTTAATTTGTTTCTGTGGCTCTTGCTGAAACACAATATCAAACTTCATGAATCTCATTTGCATGTTAATGAAACTAAGAAACAAAACAGGATCATTTTAATTATCTCTTGCTGGTTGTCAACCTACTTGATTACATTTTTCTTTTTTTATTTAGATTTGATTTTTTTCCCCTATTAATTACATGAAGTGTTCATAAAGGAGTGTCAGATTTTGAGTGATTTATTAAAGGGTATATATTACTCATTTTATTTAACCACTCCTATTTAGCTCAGGTTGGGAGAGGTGTCCAGCCAAGCCACCAGGTCATGTATAAGTAGATGAAACCAACAGATAAAAAAAAATCCCAGGATCTTTGATAGACCAAGAGAAATCTTTTCTGAGGAGGAATCAGAAGAACTGGTGAAGAAAGGCCAGGCAGGGAACAAGAAACAACCCACATTTTGTCCATCTGTGGGTGAGAAATACCACAGATTTTGCCCAGTAAATCAGTAGAACCCTGACAGGAGAGCTGGGGCTGAATTGTCTCCTCCAAAAGGATGCACTGTAGTCTGGTGTTGATACTTGTGAATGTGATTTTACTTCATCTGGTCATAGGGTTTTAAGAGATGCAATGAAGCTAAGATGAGATTTTTTTTTTTAATCAGGTTGAGTTGAGATAGGGCCTAAAACCTCTGGCTGGTGTCCTCATAAGGAGAGTGGGATTTGAAGATACACAGAACCTTCAAGGACACACAGGGACAGATGCTAAGATCAGAGTAATGTAGCCACAAACCAAAATATGTCAAGGAGTGCAGCTGCTAGAAAGTGGCAAGGAATGGTTTTTATCTAGATACCACAGAGAGTTCATAACTTTGAGGAATATAATGCAAAAGAGTCAATGTAAAGTAACATAGAAACTAAATAAATCATTGCTAATACTAGAATTATAATACAGACAAATCTGCCTCTATTTTGTCTAATATTTTCTCCTAACCTATTAATTTGCTTTCAGCCCTTTCACTCAACAATAGTAAGAGAATATTAAATAGGCCAGGTTTCAAGTTATATTATATTTTGATATGAGGTGAAATCTCCTATCATTATCCACAGAAATATGAATGAAACTTTGACCACTGTATCCATACTGTATGTGTTACTTGCTCATTAATAATTTAGTAATTATCCTAGTTATAAAGTAACCTGTTTGTAGTAGCCTACCACCACATCTCAATGCCTACATCATTCACATCATTGCTTGTCAATGCCAACATTATTTGCATCATTTCATTGCATCATGTAAGCATAATATCACCCCATTTCAAACAAGAAAAGGATAGTATACTATCGTGAGTTAGTTTGAATGGAAGAGAGAGATCATATTAATACAACAGACACATTGCTATCACTGTTTTATTTTGTTACAAGTCATGATTGTTACTCTCCTCCTGTTCAAAATTTATAAACTAAACTTATCACATACATGTATGCATAAGGAAAAAGACCACAATATATACAAATATTTCTATTATCAGTGATTTCAGGCATCCATTGTGTCTTTGGAGCAAGAACATTAGTAACTACTGTGTAACTTTCTATTAGTAGAGTACAGTGGTATTTGAATTTTAATTAACAGTTAGAGTTAAGCATACTCTGACTTCATGGTTGTCACTCTAGAGTCTTAACAGGGTCTAGTGTGTCATTTGACACTCCATGAACGTCCTCACACAAAATATTAGGAAGACACATTTTATAGGATTGTCCTGTTATTTCTCATGCTTAGATAGAATGTAAAATGCAAGCCTTTATTTTCATGTCCTTAAAAACCTTGGAAATGGGTTCATTGGAAACCATTAGAATTTGTGAATATAGCCAAACTCAAGTAACAAAGGAAGAGATAGTTTATAGCAAAAATAAAATATTTAAGCATAGGGATGTAAATACATGAACTGTGTTGAGTGTAGCAGATTGCTTCATGGATTTGCTGTAATCTAGCTTGTAAGGTCAGAATTTCTTCTTATTAAAAGATAAATGTTTATTTATGCTTGTTCATTGTCAATTTTCTTACCACAACTAAGTCCTTCTGATCTAAAGCAATATTTTGTTTTCTCATTCCCGTAGGATTTGTTGTTAAAATCAAACATCTGTCTGTAGGAAAATTATTTGTGTGGTGAATTGACAGAGGCAACTCTCATTCTCTGTGTACTCCAAGATGGATTATTCTAACACCCATTGCACAATTTTCTGGCCATTCTTTCTGCCCTCATCATTGTGCTTATTTTAATACAGCTTACTATGTTTAAGTAAAGGTCCTTAAATTCAGTTGTCAAGTTATTCATGATGGACATAATTGGTTAAGAAGATAGGTCCCTGCGATGTTATCAAATAATCAGTGCTTCTTGTTGTTAAAGATGCTACATAAAATCCCTTATAATAATTATATATTCCAAAATGGTATTAGTATATTTTAATAGTTGATGCCTTAGATGACAGCTGATAAATGAGAAATGAATTATGCACAGTTGAATAATTTGAAGCCTAAGGGAAGGGGAGCCTCAGGGCAGATGGTGAGTCTCAAATGTACCTGAGATTTTGTGGCCAGAGATTAAGCCCAAGAATTTCAGTGGCTGAGTTTGCTTTATTGAGGCAGCTTGTGGAATTTGATGCAGAACGAAAGACATTGTAGTATTGTATTATGTACCAACTTCTCCATCACCCCACAATATAACATGCCAAGAAAGGCTTAGGAGTTTGGAGCTGTAAGGATTTCACATCTTCAGGCTGATACAGGCTCTGCCACATGACATCTTAGTGCTATGTCTAATTTTTCTGCCCTGTGCTCTAATTACTTCCAGTATGAGCCCTTCACTCTCCTCCCATCATTTCTTCCCTTTTCCTTCTCTTTCCAACCTTTCCACATCCACGTTCACCTTTCTTCTTTCTCTTCCCCTCCCCTTTCCCTCCTCCCTCTCCCATTTCCTTCCCATGAAATTCAGACTTACAGCTCATAATGCTGAGATGCAAGCACTTGAACCCAACTGAACCCCTGAATGTTTGGGTCATAAGTTACCAAGGACACAAGCTTCCCAGACATTTGAGCTTCAACTCTCCACCTTCAACTCTCCATCTCTCTTTTTAACTTTCTCCTGAGGATAATAAAATTTTAGGTAAAGAGCAACTATTATTAGATACTCTGAGATCAATTCACTCTCCTCAGGTTTAAATCACTGCTACCTCTTATTCACTTAAAGATGGGAATGATATTTAGCCTTTGTCCTTTAATTTCCTAATGTAGGAATAGGGTTAACAGTGTCACAGTGTTAGTGAGATGGCATTGGCCTAGCATAAAAATATTGCCAAATGGATTTCAGAAACACAGGCTGGAGTAATGTTAACCAATCTGAAAGTGGAGTCAATCATTTAGTTCCATTTTAACAAACTTA